ATTGTATCCTCATGCACTGAAAGGGAAAGGAGCTTTCATAAAGGCAATGATAGCATTCGTGAGGACTCTGTTTTCATAACTAATCATCTCCAAATACCATCACATTGAAATTAGGCTTCAACATATGAATTTGGAGTGAGTACAAATATTCAGTCTATATAGTTGGGAAAATTAAACTAGGACTTAACCAAAATAAAGTTGGTTGTATTCCAAAGAGGAATGATTAAATTTTTTTTTCATTCCTCACCCTGGAGCCTTGCTGGAAGTATTTCTTAAATTCAATAACTTTTACCTGAATGGCCACTCCAGGTAAAGCTTATTCCTGTCAATAGGTTGTGGTGAGGTCCAGGGATTTAGCTCAGTGCTTCTGCCGCCTGCCTCGAAAGCGGAAGGTCCTGAGTTTGATCCCTGGTACCAAAAGAAAAAAAAAGAAAAAAAGAAAGAAGAATAAGTTGTGGTGATATTACCATTTCCTCTGTCAAAATTAAGTACTCTTTCTTCAGTTCATAAGAAAATAAGACCAAAGTTTACATGTAGTTTCATTGCTTGAAAATTATTGCAGAAGAGATATGTATGTTATTGGTGACATCTTCATTGGAAGTACTAGTAAATTGAATCCAAACTAGCTGCAAGAAAATGCAAAGAAACCAAAAGGAATTCCTATCCTACTTTATCAGGGGAAATGAAGTATAAAGAAACATTATTTTTAACTATTCAATGATAACCTCTGATTTCATAAATCTAATCTACGTGTTTTAGCTATTTGCCACAGTTGAGTTTTATAATTTAAAAGAAGTTGAATTTCTTCTTGGATGTTTTAAATAATCCAGGCTGAATAGATGATTTAGAAATAGATTATTATTGCTTTACATTTTCCTCTAACTTAGAATACTTGAAGATGAAAAGATATTTCTCCTAAAGATTCACCTTTGGTTTCATTTGAATTTTCAGGTGCACTGTATTTGTTCACAGTCTCACCTATCACTTTAAGCCTGCTTCCTTTGATTGTTTACAGAAGTAATTTTCCTATATTCTACCATGTTTTCCTTTAGATCCTAAGAGTTTCCAAAGAACATTAAATGAATAAAATGTCATTGGAATTTATATTTGTCTTTGACCTTTCTGAATCAAATGCGTTGCTTTATTTTCTTTATATTGCTTGGAAGGTCTAGATGTATATTGAGCTATGTAAACAAGAATAAATGTAATTAACAAACTTATAATACAGAATTCTGGATATTAAACAAGTAAATATTACCATTAATTATAAATAAATGAAATGCATTTTGAGAAATCACTTAATACTTCATGTGCAGCTTGCTAATGAAAATTATGAGTTTGAAGGCAAATATAGGCTTATTCCTGTTGAACCTAAACAACTTGAAGTATTTTAGACTCAATACCAGGAAGGGCTTAGGAATCATCCATCAAAACATTATTGTCTGCCAGATGCAGTGGCACACGCCTGTTGGAATCCCAGCTACTCCAAGAGGTTGAGGCAAGAGAATCACTGGAGCCAAAGACTACAAGCAAAGCTCAGGCAACATAACAAGAACCTGTCTCAAAAGCAAAATCAATACAAGACATTTTACTTTATTCTCTTTATCTATGTCTTTATTTGATTAGCAGTGTATTTTACATAATTTTACTATTGAAACACCACTAGGTTTTTATTTTCATAAAAGAACAAAAAAATCTAGAGAATGAAGTAGACATATTGAACATTATTTGATTTCCTTCCTATTATTTCTAGAAAGAATAGTCTGTCTTTTGGTTTCAAAAACCAAATCTTTCTGTTTAAAAAAAAAGATGCTTTCTGAACTATTGGACATCTGACATTCAGCATATATGGTAGAGTATAACCCTTCATTTGACTCTCTTTGTCATAAGTTATCACACATTTTAACACTTGTTTCTGCTGCCCACTCCACTTTCTGAATCTCTTTGTCATTATCATTTTTGTTGTTAGGTGACCTCTGTTATTCATTGGAAATGCTGTCTTATGTTCTTGTTCTAGCTCAGTCTCATCAAGATCTTCAAAAGTTACTGGTTACATAAATCATGCTATTTCAATCATATTTTCAGTTAATGACAGTCAAAAGCATGAGAACAAATTGTGTTCATGTATGTATACAGGTATTTTGGGGGTCTTTTAAAAAACTTATTCAAGAAGAATATCTAAAGCTTTCTTTTTTCTATACCTATCTCATGTAGGACTTTTCCTTCAACTTTCTGCTACTCATAATAACTATGACTACATATTCTGTGGAATGGGCAAGTTATTAAACAAATAGTGAACTGATTGTATGGATGTTTAAATCAATTACAATCCAATAAAGAAATAAACTTTTAATGAAATAGATAATGTTTCCTTTGGAAAACAAAGTGAAACTTAACTATGTGTGGTCTATTCTCTGTGGACACAAGCCTTTGCTTTCTTTTTCTTTTGAATCTTGTTGGGGTGTGTGAATGGACTAAGGGTCCCACAGAAGATATCATAACTGAAAATCAGATGTCTTTCATCACTTCATTCTACGAATGTTTCATAGGAGTTGAAATGATAGGTATTGTATAAGCACTGGAGATGCAAGAAACACTACACACCATACTTGACCTTGCAAAGCTTCAGCGTTTAAAGGAAACCTGTTTATCACATATGCAACTGTAAAATCAGTACTTATTTCTAAAGGGTACCTTTCAGAAACTAGGAAAATACATAGCCAGGTGTTCTAAACTAAGCTGAAGACATTGGGGAACATCTCCTATTTTTTCCAAAGTGACTACAATGATGATTGATGACTGGATAGGGAAAGATAGGGATGAGGTAGGAGCACAGGAGAGTATCTCGAATAAAAGAAAGCTATTAGTGCAAAGGTCCAGAGAGGAGAAAAAAAAGAGCTGTAGGCAAATTGAAGGAAGCTCGTGGAGCTAAAATTAGGAGAGCAAATCAATGGTAGTCATGGGATGGAGTGGTAGAGAGAGGAAGGGACCAGATCATGGATATCTTTAAACACTTCAAAGTTCTGAGATTTCATCCTAAAAGCAATGGGAAGGGTTATACTAGTAACATAATTAGGTTTTGGCTAATGTATGGTGAGTGAGTGGGACTGATTAAAGAGAGATACTGTTAAAAACTCTGATAGTAATTGGGCAAGAGGGATTTGTGAGCTGGATTTGGGTGGGATCTAAGGCTATATACATTATTCCTGATGATGGGAACACTCTGGTATTGGAAACAGCGTGAGGCAGCTCAAAGCCATAAGGAAACTACAGCGAGTGACAAAAAGTCCATCAAGCCAAGAATATATGTTTTTGAAAAATATTTCATGTTTGCTTTTCAAATTATGCATGTAGAACATATTATATAAATCGCATGTAAGACAAAAACACAAATTCAATAATAATCATACTGCCCTAAAATAACCAATATTAAACTTGAGTGTAGCTTTAAAATATACATACATGAAAATACACAAACACATTTTGTGTAAATTGTGCTTATATTTTAAAACCAAAGTGAGAGATGAAACTTTATACCATTTTTATCCTGTTTTGAAAAAGACTAGTTTACCAAAAATATATTCCTACACTGTAATATACTATCTTAAAACACTTTAATGATTTTATAAATCAAAGAAATACATATCATTGTTTACATTGAATTTATATATGGTTCAATTTTGATATTTACATTTTAAATTAAATCTTAATGAGTAAAATATTTTCACTCTTATAGACATTCAAATGGCAAATTGACTAAATGTAAAAATAATTCTTTTCTATTTCTCCACAACTTTATAATCAATATTGCAATAGGTTTATTGGAGCATGTATAGTGTATTACTAGGCAAGCACAAAAAAGCAAAACCACCTATAAATTATTCCAAATTGGGAAAAATAGTATACTATTTTCTTCCCTAAGAAAATGCTTCAGTTTACATTACCTCATAGTCCCCATCTGAGCTATTACCAAAGTCTCTTCACTCAAAATTTTATTTCAGTTAATTTTTAGGGAATAGAAAAATTCTTCTTACAGCATTCAGAATTCAGCACTGAGGTGGCAGCACAGATTCTGCTTAAGTGCTTTATAGATCAAGAAAACACTCATTTGTTTGCAAGGTCAATTTAAACAGTGTTTCTGCGACAATTTTGTTTTTTATTCAAAGAAGTTTAGATCTATGAATAGGGCCCCTTGTTTATGGCTTGTATTTGTACTGCAAGCTATCGTGCCTTTTTAGGAATAACAATACAAAGCAGGTATCAGAATATATAAAAACATAAATAGAATTTTTTCCAAAGTTGTATGTTTCAACTCGTTAAGCTTTAAATGAAAGTGAAGAACACTCAAAGTCACTTTTGTCAAAGCCTTTTCCTGAAGATATTTGGATGATGCAAGATGTAATTTCAAGAGATTGATAAACCAATTTACGTGGAATACAAAAGAACTGTTTGGATTTGTGGTTTTTGCAAATGAGACAAATAAGGAAATTTGTTTTCTGAATAGGAAATAAAGTATGCTAGGCCTATTTGAGATGCTTCAGTGTGCCAAAGATGATATTAAGTTTGGTGTTCATAAATTACTAATCTGGAATAAGAGGTTGAATGTATTTTGAAAACTTAAACCTGTTTCAACTGAACATGTTTAACTAGTTAATAAGAAACATCAAAAAGACAAAACCCTGAGGTCAATGGTCATTTTTTGTAAAGCTATTATATGCTGTTTAAATTGGTTGTTCGGGTCTGTCTATAACATAAGTTTAATAACCTAGCTCAAATGCAGATTTCTAATTTTCAATTAACATAGGAATAATTTTGTTTGCTAAAATAAAATAAATGAATGAATGACAAGTCTGAAACATGAAATGTTCTAGGTAGAACTTTTTAAAATTCCAAATTTCAAAAAATCATGTGGCAACTGTATAGCTCAAGCTTTAAGTATTAACTTTTAACCTTTGACCTTACAGATTTTAACCAATGAAATGTCTCTTTAAACTTTAAAGGAAACAATGATAACGAGCGCCTGGCGATTGCTAGACAGCGAATTCCATATCGACTTGGTCGAGTAGTTGATGAATGGCTACTCGACAAAGGTAAAAAACATTGATTAAAACTTCAAATAAAAAAATAATTTGAACATAACCAAGTAGTACTTCATTGTAACACTAATAAACATAAAAAATAAATTTTCCGTAAAACTAAATTAAAAACAAATTTAAAACAGTAAACTGTAGATAGTAATATTTGCATACCTTGTATAATAATTTCTATACATTTATAGACGTACCACCGGTTTAATAATCTTACCCAGTTAACTTAAGGTTAAAGGGACTGTTAAATATAATCCACTAACTCAATCTTTGAAGGCACTCACAGCAAGCATTAACCCAAAATGATAAATCATTCATAGATTATATTACATGTTCCAGCCTCTAAATTATTAACTAAAATATATGTAGTTCTGATATTTATTATGGTCCTGAAAAAAAACTCTTTGTTTAAACTTTAGGAATCTTAAATAGTGGGCAATATGGATTGCCAGTCAAAATGAAGTCCCTTTAACGTTTGCAACCTTCTAAGAACATTTGGGAACAAGCCCTAATTAAAACTGAACTTAAAGTTGTGTGCATGCTTTTTATGGGCAGAGAGCAGTCTGCTAACACTGGACACTCAATTTGATGATAATGGTACTGTTGCTAAGGATTGCTGTTTGAAAGAAATGTGCCATAATTTCTTCATTGGTTTGTGTATCATTCCTGAAGCCGCTTTTTCACATCTGAAGCTATTTTGTTTCCATTTTCTTTTGTTTTGATAGACTTGCTGAAAGCCAATCAGAAAAATAGTTTTGGAATTTTTTTTGTCTCTGACATGCTCAGTATAAACCATGCATTTCTTTTCAGTGTGATTGCCGGAAAAATAGAATAATTCAAATATCAATGGACGATTGCCTTCAAAACATAAAATACATCTAAAGAATAGCGTGTAGATAGATGTGGAAATTATGTGACTTATGACATTTTTACCATAAAATTTAATGTTAGATTGCAGCCTTTATAGATTAGTTTCTGTCAGAGGTAATTTTAGGATGACAAATACTTGAAATGTTAGATATGTCACACTTTTAAAATTTAATGATTTAGACAAGAGACTAACAATGTAAGTTCTTGAGAGAAAAGAAAAGAAGGGATTCAGAAAAATTGAATTGTGATACATATCTTTGATTGGTCTTTTAGCAAAAGCACTACATTTACAATAAGGAAATTTACAAGTATTTGCCAATAATTATGCATTTCATGGACACCTCATTTATAAGCAATGAATTATGAGTCAAATGCCTCTCTTATAGTTTATTGCTCTCATTATCCACCCCATGAAAGATCTGTTTTATCATCCTTTGTAGAATGTAGAGTTCACAATCAACATTTTTGCATGTATGTAATATTATTTTTACAGGGCGTCAGCTCACAATCTTCAATAGCCAAGCAACCATAATAATTGGCGGGAAAGAGCAGGGCCAGCCCTTCCAGGGCCAGCTCTCTGGGCTTTACTACAATGGCTTGAAAGTTCTGAATATGGCAGCTGAAAACGATGCCAACATCGCCATAGTGGGAAATGTGAGACTAGTTGGTGAAGTGCCTTCCTCTATGACAACTGAGTCGACAGCCACGGCCATGCAGTCAGAGATGTCCACGTCAATCATGGAGACCACCACAACCCTGGCCACAAGCACCGCAAGAAGAGGAAGGCCCCCAACAAAAGAACCTGTCAGCCAGGTGAGCGTGTGCATTTTATTCCTTCATTTTGGAGCTATGATTATAAAGTGCACTTTTTTGCATTTGTCTTACTAAAATGGGACATTTTTTTCTCTCAGGCACTGTGGTTCCTTTGACACTTGGCTTAGCACAGATCACTTGGTTTGAGTATGAAATGTGGATCTGTTGTGGATTACAGCTTTGTGGGTTTTTTCTCAAAGGTGTTGGTTGTGTCAGTTTGTTAGCTGCTGGCTAATGGTCTTGATAGAATAACTTTGGTCTTGGCCAGCCTGGTAGGATTGTCTGCTACTTACACTTTGCACTTTTTAAGTTTTATGAACAAATAAATGAATGACATAGTTCAAAGTCCTTGTTTGTTTAAATTCAGCACTTCATCAAAAATGAACAAAAGCAAATTTTATATTAGAGATATTCCTGCAATACTGTTGTATCCTGAAGTCTGAAAATTTCGAATTGGTAGACAAGTGGCTATTGTGGTGAATGATATTGGACATCAAAATTGTAAAATATACTGTTTAAGAAGGGTCTTAGTCTAAGATGTTTTGTATGATAGTTGACTGATGTTTGATCTTGTGTCTAAAATTTTTGAAAAATATAATTTTTAGGGCAGGATGTATCTCGGTGAAAGAGCAATTGCCTAGCATGTATGAGGTCCTGGGTTCTATCCCCAGCTCTGTAAAAGGAGAATTGAATTTTTTAATGTGGCATTGGCACAACTTGGAAGTATATTAATTTAATCAAGATCCATATGTGGATTGGCTACTACGTATTAGGTACTGATTTAGTTACTGTCATTGTATTGATGAAGAACATAGAGGGAAAAACAGACTTTTATGAAATGCTGTTTGATAAATGCTATCAGATCCCACTGGTATTTATAGTAATTGTACATATCCAGTTGTTAATTCAGAACTGTGCATTTTCCTTGGTCCTAGATTGTTTCTTTTGTTTTTAATACTTGGTGAATGTCTTCAGTAGGTGCTATAAAAATCTTTTCCAAATACATGATCCTTACTCTTCCAGAAAACTGCATCCTAAAGGAGCAAGAAATACAAAATATTATTTTTTAAATTGCTTTTCCTTAAAGTGTTTGATATAGGTTGAGTATCAGATTTGGAAAGAAAGCAATAGCAAATTCTCTTTGTATCATTACTCTATTTACTGATTAACTTGTTTCCCAGAATAAAAAAATTATTAAGTTTTACTTTGAATAGGAAAGGGTGATAAGAGTAGAGCAAAGGAAGATAAAGTCTCCTAAGAGAAATGACCCTAAAAGTATAAATTTTGTATATTTATAAGTGTGGTACAGTGCTGTTTTGCATGTTTTGCTCCTATATATACCTATTGTCTTTCACCTTTAATTTTTTTCTTTTTTGCATTGAACTATGAAGTGAAATGGGCTGTTTCACAGGACATCAATATATATATATTTGTTGATCGCTCTCTACATGCACCAAACACTGGTTTAGCATGAAGATGTATTGGGAACAGCAAACAAAAACTCCCACCCTCATGGAATGTTCATTTTAGCAGGACTGTTAGCTTGGAATACAACCATTTTATTGATTTTCTCTGTCTTATTTAGGTTTACAAGATCATTGATAATATTTTAATACTTAGCCCCTTTGATGAAGACTTGTGATTTAAGTAAGAATATCCATGAAATTATCCTCCATAAGATCCTTGTCTAGTAGCTCTATTTGATACTCTTTCCTAATAATTCCTTAAAGTGCTGTTATTGTAGTTGACTTATGGCTCATTTCATACTAAGCTATTAAAGTGAATCTGATATGAGAAAAATGAAATACAAAAGAATTCATAAACTATTTCCTTTATATAAAATAACTCATAAGAGAACATTTAAGTACATTCAGAATTGGAAATATTTCTGTGAATATAATTTGAAATAGTTATTTTTCTTGGTAGTCTTGTTTCATTGGTAATGAAATTATAGTTACTAAAACTCCTAGGTAAAACAGATGTATCCCAAAACAAGAAATGAAACATTAGTATTATTTTATTGTATTTTGTCATCTAGTATATGCTATATATAAAGAAATATCATATTTTAAAGTCTAGAAGGTAACTTCACTGAAAAGGTAAATATCTAGAAATGCAGAAGTAAAAATGTATGAATTTTATAATATCAATTAATGTAAAAAATAGTTAACTGCTTGTTAATTGGCAATGCAAAAGTCTCTTTTATTATAAACTATGTATTACACATTTAAAGTCAGCATTGCTCTATAGAAGTAGGCAATCAAATCAATTAGTTATTAGTTGGTTCATTTAAGGAGGTATTGACTTTAATAAAAGTTACTAGGTTCATTTAAAAATAGATATTTTAAATCCTTACATTTTAATAGACCAATAACAGCAATTAATTTGGATTATTATGTTACAAATAGTCAGTTGTTGCAAATTTCAATTTAACAACTTTTTAAAAAAGTATTTGGACAAATACTTTTTGAAATTCTTTTATGATGATAAGTATATGATTATTGGTTACAATATAAAGTATCTGTGTTGGAGAGGAAGACCATTAGGGAAGAAAGCACATTATTTATTTCTGAGCAATAGAATAATTTGTTGCAAATTTTTCTTACATCCTCTATAAATATGAGATCATTTAGATATGTAAAGTGTCTATTTGTTAGAATTGCTCCACATATAGAAAGTTTAAATATGAGAGTGTTTTGTAATGCTAATCTTGGGACTGTAGATTTTTACCTATTTTTTTTAAGATTAGATGCCACAGCTCTCATTTTAAACTTTGTCTATCATAACCATATCTGCCTGCTTTTATCAACTGCCTTACTAAATTGTGTACTAGGAAGGGTCATTTCATTTTTCAGAAGCCATACTGGCCTGTTTTTTCAATCAAAGTATATTTTCCTCAGTGATGACACTGAGCCACTTAAACTACAATGGTAGTGTACTTGGTGTGATTGCATGTTTTAGAACTACAGAAACAGATTTTTGGTCAAGCAGAATTAAATTGGATTCATTTCAAATAGATGAGATGAATTTTGTTCAGCCATCCTGCAGGGCAAGGAGTAGGTGAGAAATGTATTTCAGTTATGGAGTATTCATCAACATTATGTTTTGATTCCTACTTAAAAGTAAATATGCTTTTAAAAGAAAAAATGAAAAGAAATGTTATCTTCCAAGTGATGATCAATGTTTATATTGATGTTTACTCTAGAAAGACATGATTAATATCATGAAATAGCAGAGACATGAATCAGACCTTCTGATTAAGTAGTTTTTTAAAATGTGAATGTAACAATATTGATAGCACTTTTATAGGGATCTTATGAGGTTTATAAAACTTGTTTTACTTACAATTTTTAATTGTTAAATCTTTCCATAAGACCCATTCATCTTACAGGGAATTTTCCATAAGGCTATGCTCAATAAATATTTGCAAAAATAAGTGAAGCATAAAGTCCCTTGGAATCCCTGAATGCTTCTCAGGGTGAGGGAAGGGATGTCATGCAAGCATGTTAGCTGGTGAGTGTCCCCTCCTCCTCCGAAGGACCTGGCATTGTCTTACAATGACATGAATATTTGTGTAAATGAAGAAAGAAGGAAAATTCACTTTTCATTTGCCAGTGTGTATAGGAAGAAAAGTGAACCTGTGCTGTGGCTTTTATGATAAAATTTGTGATAATTCTTTTGGAATATTCTTTGTAGCATATATTATGATCTTTTCTGTTTTCCCCTTCAATAATATTTTACAATCCACACACTGTAGAAAATTTGGATCCTTATCAAGGTTTTCTCTTAGGGAGAATTTAATAGAACGCGAAGAGCACAGTGACCTAGTTTCCACTTCCAACACAAGCAACTGCCTCCCCCTGCATCTTGGATGGGTTGTCTAACCTGGCTGTACTTAGGCCTTCTTACCTCTCTATAAGTGGATTACTAGGACTCTCTCCAGTTGTGCATAGCTTTCAATGATTCTAGTGATGATACTCTCAATTAGATCTTCCCATAATTATTTAACAAAGCCTGGATTTCAGCGCTGACTTTTTTCTAGGGTGGCCCTGCATCCTGGTTGGCCTGTACAGTCCGTTGGTACACTTGATATTGTAATGTAATTACTGACAAGATTTTTGAGTTTCAGAAACATCCCATTTGGGTGTGTAAATTAAATTGCATTCTGAGTTTTTAGTATATACAACACAGCCTTTACAAGAAATCATACTTAAGAAGAATAATAAATATTAAGCCCTGCCCTTTACATTCAGAGCAAACACTGATTCTGGTATCTTTACTAGGTTTTTAGAATCCACAGTCTTTTCATCTTCTTTTCATGTCATTTTAAAAATCTCAAGAAAAGAGAGAGAATAAAGTGCTGAGAGATTCTACTTTTGGCTGGAGGAACTATAGTTTGCAGTTCTTGGGAAGGAATGACACAGTGAGTAAATTTGTAAATACAAATCAAATGTATTGGAACAGCTCTTTGGTTCCAGGGTGGAGATAGCAAATCTACTCCGGGAGAGGGACCCCTTTAAGTTGCAAAGCATTAGCGGTAGATTATCGCAGACATGTATATTTCACACAAGAGCTCGTATTACAGCGAAGGACATTGATTCCCAGTGGAGTTTTCTGAAAACAAAGCCAGTTAGTGTTCAAGCAAGAAGCATCTTTAATACATTGGGCCTAATGATTGCTTCCTGGAGACTTCAGTGCTATTAATGAAAAATTAATACTATTTGTTAGAAAAATGTAAGCAGAGCGTACACATATTTCCATGGAAAATATTCAGAGCTAACCAAATGAACTTTGCAACTTATAAGAAAACAATTTTCTTGTATTAAAAATATTAATTAACCTCAGCAGTAGCTTCATTATTTAAAAAATAATAGTGTCACTTACAATTATGTGTGTTTCTGATAACCACTCTGAATTTTTGGAATACTATTTAAATAATTATTTTATTTTACCTAGTCCAGTCATTCCACTGAACTCCCTTAAAGTAATGTACATTTTTG